TTCAGTATATATTGATTGACTTTTGTAGTCAGGTGAGGTTTTGAACACACATGGAACTGTTTAGATCAGTACCTGGTTAACTTTCATCAAGGATAGCCAGGTCAGTTTGGGGAATTTGCTCGACAGCATGTAGTTGTCTTGTGTAACTGGTAGAAATTGTTTTGAATTCATAGCATKAGAGAGTTCCGTTTGAGTTCTGTATGTCTCACTTGTAATTAGTTATCATAACCATGAAATAAAGATTGTAGTTCAGCTGAATTGTGATTGTACTTTTCTCATTCCTTATAGAACAGCGGCGGATACACGGGGGTGGGGGGGTTGGATTTCCATCCTTTCTTTTTAGAGTAAAAGTGAATATTTTAAACTCATGGATACGCGAAGCGTAGAAACGAGTTATTGTGAGGGGTCTGAATATGCAAATGTGTCACTCACTCGCTCACTCACTCACTAAGATGTTAGCAGATCGATAATTAAACGTTTATTGGTCATCTTACGTCATCTGATTATGAACATTACACGACAGTAACAAGTACAAAACTTTTATGCAATATAGACTACATTGGTTATTTATATGAGGAAAGGAAATGCTGATGAAACGTGGGATATATATGTCATATATTTCTAGCACTTTGAACCCAAGGACTTTTAATGATATCTGTGAATAGTTGACTCATAAATGAGGCTAAGCCTTGCTAATAACACTGTGGTTTTCAAAAGCAGTGGTGTCTATTGAATGCGAAACAGTTGTATATAATAAATGCAAATATGACTTTACAGTGCGACTACTCCCAAAGCCACCCCGACAAATTTTCCACAAATTATCCAATAGTGTTTGAGTATTTAGACAATAGGTTAGCAGCAGATTTTGAATTTAAATATTCCTCCATTGTTCCGGTTGGTAAAACTAAATGATGAAGAAGAGCTTGTAATATATTTTCTTCGCAAATTAGTAATTTGTGTCACCAAAGATATAGAAAAATAGTAATGTACGACTTAATACGACAGGAAAGCAAATTAGAGACCGTATAAAACACAGTCTTTATGATTACAGTTTGTTTCTTCCAGACAAAGATATTATCAGGCTGACACTGTTAGATCTTATCACTATGTTGCTATGCGACAGCACCTTTACATTCGACAACAAAGGTGCCGGCAGTCTTCTAAGCCGTTTAATGCACCTATCAGCGGCTTCCCTGTGGGGTCGACCCCCGGGCTGCATTACCAGGGAGATTGTAAAAATTCATAAACAATGTTGATCATTTTCCCCAGGGGTAGGGAAGTTGTTCTTTTCAATGTTCCCTGGTCGAGGCATTCAAATCTACGATCTCCCTCATTTTGGTTGAAATTATTGTTATTGTATTTTGAAAACTGAACTCAACTATTTCAGGTAGTTTTTCATTGAAAAGATTGGAAAAAAAACTCTCATGAAATGAAGAATTCACTTTTAAAAGTAAAAATCAAGTTGCCTTCGAATTCGTATCTATGAAACAAAGAATGTCAAAAAACATACTATCTTTACGAGCAGAGAGGCATCTGGGTATTGTCGAATGACACAGGTAACCCAGCCCGACCAAAAACGTCTGTGGTCTCAAAATTTTTAAAATCAGGAGCTATTTCTTTAACTAGAGAGGAAAATCAATCCCCCTGCTAACCTCTGCAATGAAAATAATTTCATTACAATCCCCCACCTCAGTTTTTAGCCACGAAACCAATGTCGCAAATTTTTTCCAACCCCAGGGGGAATAACTGGATTCAATCCTATATTCTATATTCTATATTCTCCCACCCATCTCCTTGGTCAGCCCGGGGGTCGACCCCAAGGGAAGCCGCTGATAGGTGCATAAACCCATGGATATTTATCCGAGGCTATTTAGTCATCAGTTGACTGTACACATACAAATTTTTGTAATTTTAATTTAAAATAATTTAATTGGAGAAGCAAAGGTTGCATAGAGGTGAGAGCACTCGCCTCTCACCAATGTGATGGCCTAGTTCTATTCCCAGACTTTTTCAGGGTTTTCCTCTGGGTTCTCCAGTTTTCCTACCTCCACTTAAATCAACTTCTAAATTGGAATTTCGTTAATAGTAATAAGACAATTCCAAAATACAAATTTTTGCGCTTGCTTTTTCTATTGGTGATTTATTGGTTATTCATAAAACTGGTAATCAAGCTTTTAACATAACTTTTCATTAAACATAAATTATATACATTGTTCTAAGCTAAGCCTTGATTTAAACTGCTACAAAAACTGCTCTATGACTTCTTACCAGTGATGGCAAATCCAACGAGAATGATACCAAAATATGTAGCATCTCTTCCAGTCTGAACAACTGTTAAAAAGAAATAATAGTTAAATACCTATGGTAACTGCATTTATACATCTATAATCGAACATTGGAGTTCTGTTTTTCACTACCAAATTATTTTACGAACATATCCTCTTTCCTCCGTGGAGGTAGGGGTAGGAGTTTCTCACCAAGAACAACGTCATGCATACCTTTGGCACCTACTGTTAGCTGAGATTGTGGCGCTGCTCTTGTGTTTCCATCAAATCTCCCAACACACTGCTATCTTTCTTCTTGGATTCATTAGATAGCCACCTCACCAACAAAGGCTTTGCCATCTTGTTTGGAAGCCATTTGAAGTTGACTGAACTTAGGTCAACTTACACACGTTGTGTTCGCTAAATTATCCCTAAGCATTGGTCCATTCAAGCTAGACAGCCACCTGCATGTATACTGGTTGAATATTTTAGCTTTGCTGTTATTTTGTGCACCAATTATTAAATATTTGCTTACAAACTTGACGTCACTGAACTTGTAAATCTTGTAAATCTGAACATTTGAGCCGCCATCTTGGATTTGGAGCCAGTGAGGGATGATGGGAACTGGATGAGGAAACTGGGAGCTAAAAAGAAGAAGAAAATGTCAGTTTTAGAGGAAAAATGAATGATTAGTTTTAAGAGCGATCACAAGATGTGTGAAGCAACTAGATCGATATAAACATACCCGCCTTTCTTGTCAGATATGAAAATAATGTGATCGTAAAAAACCTAACTCTAGATTGGATATCAAGATTGGGATCCCTGTGTCGTTATTAGATAGATAGATAGATCGTTTATTAAATAAAGTACATATGCAGCCTATGGCTGAATTAAGCAATTAATACAATAAAGAAATTATAAAAAAACAAAAACAAAAACAATCTAAAAACCATATATACTATTATACTAATATTACTATTACTATTAATATTAAAAAAAGGAAATTATTTAAGGTTATCGTGATTACTTGCGCCTGCAATTATGAAAGTGTTCTTAAATCTGTTGCTCTTGCACGCTGGAATTGTAAATGTTCTCTGTTTTCGTAAAGTAACACTACATTTACTAAGGTTAAATGGTAAATAACGATGAAGATTATCTGACTTATTTGACATGATTTTCTTAAAAAAGGTCTTACAATGGCGTTCCCTACATTGAAATAGAGTTTCTAACCCCGAGAGGATTAAGGTAGTTCATAACCGTAGATGATCTTAAGTGCTCTTTTCTGTAACCTTTCAAGGGAATTACTTAGTAATCTATTTCATAATGCTCGCATTCATGCCCAGTTGAATTAAGTATGGGAAAAAATCTCGATTCAGCGGCCTAAGTCAAGCTGTCACGGCTTGGCTTAGGGGACGGCAACGACCCACGCGAATCGAAGGGGGGGCGGGTGGGCCGCTTCGTCTTTTACCGCTGGTAAAACTGAGCAAGAATGCAATACCTCTGCTTAACGGCCGTATTTATGGCTAAGATATTACGTAATCTACGTGAACATGTCCATTAACATTTATTGTTTTGG